GTGTGACCAGTCGCATCACCTGGAACACACTGATAGTGACGCCAGATTTCAGGTTCATCTCCGACAGGTTCCAGCATATCATTACTTCTGCTTCTCACACTTGCAACATCCATAAATGCAGTACTTATAGAAATGTTTGAGGGAATTCCCTGGCAGTCCACTGGTCAGGATTTTGCACTTTCACTGCTGAGGGTCCAAGTTCAGTCCCTGGTCATGGAATGATCTCGCATGGTGTGGCAAAACAAGAAAAATTGAGAGACAGTAGCCATCTTTGCTTCATAATTCAAAACATTTTCATTTTTAGATCCATAAACACCAATTGGAATAGCCATCCAGTGAAATTTTTGTTCCTAAGATATGTTTCTCTCTAGCCACTGCACACCTGTTTTTAGCATTTGTCCCGCTTATGAACTTGATCAAATAAGTTTTAGCATCAGTTCAGTCGCTCAGTCATGTCCGACTCTTTACAACCCCATGCGTTGCAGCACACCAGGCCTCCCTGTCCAACACCAACTCCTGGAGCTTACTCAAACTCATGTCCATCGAGTCAGTGATGTGATCCAGCCATCTCATCCTCTGTCATCCCCTTCTCCTCCTGCCCCCAATCCCTCCCAGCATCAAGACGTACTCCTTTTCCTATTTGGAACCAGTCTGTTGGTTCATGTCCAGTTCTGTTGCTTCCTGACCTGCATACAGGTTTCTCAAGAGGCAGGTCAGGTGGTCTGGTATACCCATCTCTTTCAGAATTTTCCACAGTTTATTGTGATCCACATAGTCAGAGGCTTTGGTATAGTCAATAAAGCAGAAATAGATGTTTTTCTGGAACTCTGTTGTTTTTTCGATGATCGAGCGGATGTTGGCAATTTGATCTCTGGTTCCTCTGCCTTTTCTAAAACCAACTTGAACATCTGTAAGTTCACGGTTCACGTATTGCTGAAACCTGGCTTGGAGAATTTTGAGCATTACTTTGCTAGCGTGTGAGATGAGTGCAATTGTGCGGTAGTTTGAGCATTCTTTGGGATTGCCTTTCTTAGGGATTGGAATGAAAACTGACTTTTCCAGTCCTGTGGCCACTGCTGAGTTTTCCAGATTTGCTGCATATTGAGTGCAGCACTTTCACAGCATCATCTTTCAGGATTTGAAACAGCTCAATTGGTTTTAGCATACAGCAGCATAAAATGTGAAAACTTACACAAACTTACACAAATACTGTATTTCCTTTTTGACCTATATATTGTTCACTCATTAATCTTGAATTTAAGAAAATTCATCTCGATTATGGTCTTCTTAACACTTGTAGCCTGAGATTTTACTTATCCAGGCAGTTTTTTTTTTTTAATCCAGTCAGTTTTATCATCACAATTTGAATGTACAGTGCTGCTATCTCTTTGTATTCATCTGAATTATATAATATTGGGAGCTGTCCAGGAGGAGACTATGAAGATGTTGTCTCCAGACTTTACTTCCTTGAAAGGTGATGTACATGATTTGGGGCAACACAGGAAGAAAACTGCAGGATGGTATTGATGATAATTTAGTTTTACTTTTGTATCATCTGTGTAGATGACTCCATTATTCTTGAGTTTTCTTACTATTTTAGTCCTTTTTAGTATTGCTGGGAATTGATTAATGATTAATTCCTACAGTGATGAAATAGCAAACTATTTCAAATGATGGGAAGTCACAAAGATCTTGTAATTTATCTTATTTTAGATTTATAAAAGGGTCTCATGCACTCATTTTGGTTATTGCAAGAGAGAATCTGAGTTTTGTTTTGTTTTTGCTGCTCCGCACAGCTGGCCGGCTCTTGGTTTCCTGGCTGGGCCCTCCACAGGAAAGCGCAGAGAGTCCTGACTACTGTACAGCCAGGGAATTCCCAAGAATCTTGAGTTTGGTTTTTTTTTTTGTTTGTTTGTTTAAATCATAGCATACTATGTGGTTTACCTATGAACAGATAGCATATTGTTGTTTAATCCCTAAGTCGTGTCCAACTCTTACTACCCCATAGACTGTAGCCCGCCAGGTGAATCTTGAGTTCTAATCAGTTTTTTAAATAATTGAATTTTAATAAGCCGTGAGAGATCAATGGTAGGTAGAACTAATGAAAAGAGGATCTCAGAAACATTAGGTCTGCCCATCCCTGGTGGTATGTTGAGGGTTAAATATAATCTTCTTAGAGGTTAAGTAAATAAATCTAGGATAAAGACTCCTAACTCCTTGGAGCCAAGAAATACTTCTACAAGCATGTGTTATTTTCCTTCAGTGTAGCTTTAATGGTTACTGGGGAGACATAAAAATAAATATGCACTTACATATAAATAGAACTGTAGAGCAGAGTAGTTTGTATGTGTTTGGTTGACCTATCAATTAAGAAATTTGATGAAAACTATTCTGGTACTCAGCTGAGAAATTTGAAACTTTTTCATGAAGATAGACATGATAGATCCAATTTTCAGGTTTAGTTAGTTTTTGTTTGCTAGGAAATGAACAGTTCCATCCTTTTTTTTTTTTCAGTGACATAATCTGTATGTTGTTTTCACAGTGGCATGGCAGAGAGAAATGCTAATTTTGAAGCTCTTCCTGAAGATTGGCGAGCAAGACTGAAGAGACGAAAAATGGCTCCAAACACATAGTTTTCTACTTTTTTGTTACTGTGTACTGGTTTGTTTTTTTTGTTTTTTTTTAATGTTCAGTTCAGAGTCTTAACCAGTTTTACTGTTGTCAGTAAACTATAAATGTTATGAGGGAGAGCATATGAATTTCTGGGCAAGAGCATACAAAATTCCCACATTTGTGAAGTGTAGTTTTTCTGTTTTGCCAAAAGGTAAGGTGGTTGAACCATTTGACCTGGCTGCCTGTTTTCTTACACTGGCAACCTCAGCATGTTAGGTACATTATCCTCATCAGTCTGGATGTGTGGCTCAATGACACTTGTGTAGAGGACTCACTGATGAAAAGGGAAGGATTTTCCTGCCTAATAGAGGCTCTTGTAGTTCCTAGTGTGGCGCGCTCTCTCTCATTAACTTCTTCAGAACAAGTGCAATTAAGAAGGCAGCTCTGTACTCTACCTTGCTTAACTGGGATTATAGGAATTTCCTTCTGACCTCTTCCTCTTAGTCTGCCACCCCCGAAGTGCTGAGGTATACAAACTCGTTCATGTCGTGCTAACAGACAGCCACACTCTATAATTATAGAGTATTTCTCACAAATTCTAGAACTGATAAAGATAGCTCAGTCATTGCACATACTAGGTGACATATATAAATTTCAGTATATAGCAGCAGCAGCAAGTGTTCCTGTCTCTGAGACTTCCCCCTCACACGTGGAAGTAAATGTAACGAGCCACTGTATGTATTGCTGTGTCTCCATTGCCGTACCTTGGTCCAAAGTTCACCTCCCATTTATATGTGAATGTATTCTCCATAAAATTCCAGTATTTAAAAAAGCAGTTTACTGTCCTGTACTTTCTATTGTATCACAATCAGGTAAAAGTCACTTTAAACTGAAGAAAAAGCAAATTGTGTTTTAAAGCTGTTTGTATTTCTCCAGTTTCTGACCTTGTAAATTTGTATATATGCACTAATAAAGCCTTTTTTATACTTCTGATTGGTTATCCTTTTGCTCCTGTTTTGCCTGTTACTCCATGAAGATGTCACCAAGACTTTAAATCAGTCGTTTTTTCTAATCAAGTACGGTGTAAGGCAAACATTGAAGAAGCTCTCAGAAGAAAGAGTGTCAGGATCTTGAGCCCATTGCAGGGTGGGAGGATGGAGTTAGAAAAACAGGACTCTAGTACCAGAAAATACAGTGTGACTTAAGTTTTGAGCTTGTGGTCTATGATATTAGCTAGTATTTAGCCTACTTAAATCCTGGAAATGATAAAATGTGGTTAATATTCTGGGGAAAAAAAAAGGTGCTTTATACTCTCACTAGCTACAAGAGTTACATATACTCATAGTCCTGTATACTCATAGTCTGTCAAGTTAACCAAAGACAACAGTAGTTAAAGTTTTATTCCAGTATATTTATATGCAGCTAACTGCCTAATCAGTGTCATGTATACTTGTGTGTTGGTTTTTATTTATACAAAAATCGGGGTGACCATTTTGTATATAAATTGTTTTTCTTGTCATTTGCATAGAGCACATTTCTGGGAAAAAAAAGGCTATTGACTAGTCGTTAAAGCTTTTGCTTTTAACTGCCCCAGATTTCTAGGAATTGTTGACAGGGACTAAGTGCTTTTGTCCCTATCCTGCCAGACCAGAAGCATTTTTTTGAATCTGACAATTTGATAGTCAAGGTGTGGGTTTTACTTTGTTTTCTTGTATTTTTCAACGCAGAAGGTAATTTTTCAATTCTAGCTATGGGATGGAGGAAATATATGGTGAAAGAGGAGAAGCAGCTCCTTTTGAGCAATACCCAACAGTTCTTAGAGCTGAGAAACAGCTTTTTTTTTTCCTTCCCTTTTTGGCTGCCCCATGGAGCATGCCTTAGCTACCAGGGATCCCACCTGTGCCCTGCAATGTAAGCGCGGTCTCTTATTAAATCACTGGACCGCCAAGGAAAGGAACAGTGAAGTATTAGTTGCTCAGTCGTGTCTGACTCTTGAGCCCCCATGGACTGCAGCATGCCAGGCTCCTCTCCATGGAATTCTATAGGCAAGAATGCTGGAGTGGGTTGCCATTTCCTTCCCAGGATCGCCAAGGAAGCCCCCATCAATGCAATTTCTAATCCCCAGAATCCGGGCTGCAATACTGTAATGAAAAGAGTAAGAATTCGGACTGCGATACTGTCATGAAAGAGTAACAAAGTAACAATCCGGGCTGCAATACTGTAATGAAAAGAGTAACAACAAACCTTTGGTACTGCAGTCTTCCCCTTTCCCCTGGTTCCCCACTCCCTTCCTCGAAGGCGGGGCCTCGCTCCCGGAAGCGCCAAGCCGCCCCGCCTTCCCGCTTCCGGCTCGCGGTTGCTATGCTACCGGCGTCCCAGCTGAAAGCTGTGGCTCGGCGAGAGCTCCGCGAGCGCGTCCTCCGCCGGGTGCACGGCGGGGCCTCTGCCTGCGGGTGGTGACCCCTCCGCCTCACTCAGGCTCCTCCGTCGCGGCCGGCTCCGCGCCCAACCCCTGCTGCCCCGGACAGTCCGGGGCGCCGAGGCGGTGGCAACCTTCCCTCTGGCCTCCCAGGAAATTGGGCCCCATCCCTCGACTCTCCGGGAAACTGCCCTCCACCACCTTCTCCCTGACTCGGAAACCCGGAAACCCTGAATTCCGTTTTCTGAGCCCCTGACCTTTCTTTTCCCACCCGCCCCGAGACGACTCCGCCGGACTCCCCTCCCCTTTTCTTTCACTCTCCAGCGGCGTCCTGGTGGTGGGCATCCCCCTCAACCCGGAGAAGAAGCATGGAGCCGGCAGGGGTCCTGGCGCCTCGGGAGGAGGAGGTCGGAAGACTGACCGCCCTCCCAGATTCCTCAGGTGCCCACCCGGGCCTCATGGCGGGCCCTAGTTTACCTGATAAGAGGTTGGGTTGGCAGGGAAGAGGGAGCGGTGCCGCGTGGGAGCTGCGGAGCGGAGGGAGGGGACGGGAGTGACTGTCGATAGGTGATTCCAGTTGTCCTGCTCTGGTTTATTTTAGCTCCTCCTATGTAATCAACTGCCCTTTTGGAAATTGGGCAGGGGCTGTTGCTGGATGCGGGTGTCACTGACTGTCTTCAGCATACCATGCAGAAGTAACATGTTCCCAGCATTGGACACAGAGCTAAAGCAGGAGGTCGGTAGCCACCCCTCTCCAGAAACCCAGTACTAGCTCAGAAGGCATATTCTGGTGGCACCTTTTTCTGGCTAGAGATCTTGATCCCAAAGGTAGAATAATTTGCACAAAAGTCTTTCACATGGTTTGTTTTTAGAAGTTCTCAGGTGTGGCGTCTTCTGAGACCATGCTTGTGTACCTCTGTTAAGAGTCAGTATTACTCTTACAGGCTGTTATAATAATGATTATTATGAAAACATTTTCCTGATTGAGATGGTCTGTCCTTTCACAGACTCTTCCTGATCCCTATGAAGACTTTATGCGCTATCACCTCCAGTACTATGGCTACTATAAAGGTAATACCTCGTTCTGATCCAGCATCACCTTTCCTGGGTCATTGAAGTAAATTGTTGGGTCAACTTAGAGTTGTGCTTGGATAAACTGATGTCGAATTTTTTGAGCAGCGTTAATGAAAAGTACTTCCTTTCCCCACTGATATGCTCTGTCACTTCTGTTGAGTGTCCATTTATACAGAGGTCTGTCTGTCTGTCCTTGAACCAGTACCACCCTTTCTTAATGACATGACATGGCATTGAAACAGTCTTGATATGTGGAAAGAAATGTCCTCCCATATTGTCGTTTTCAGAAGTGTCTTGGCTAACCTTACCTTTTTATATAATTTTAGAATTGGCATGTGATGCTTTTAAATATATGGTATTGCATTTAATCTATAGATCAAACTTGACAAGAAATGAGAATTTTCCAATAGCACATTCTCCGATCTATTAATAGTATTTTCTAATTCTCTTAATTCGCTTAGGTCCTTCTTAATGTCTTCCAATAAGATTTATAAATTGTTTTCATGGAACTGTTTATGTGTATGCTTTTATAAGTGGTATCTTAAAATTTTGATGTTCTAACTTTGTTCTTGGTATTTAGAAATAAAATTTAGGTTTTTGTACTGGTTTTATTTCTGTCTTGTTAAACTTTCTTGTTACCTGTTTCATTTGGTAAGTGATCACTGACTTGTGGAAAACCGAATTCTCGGGCTGCCAGATTCAGCAGAGCCCTCAGACGAAGCACCCCCCGCTCTGAGTGCTTCACTCCCACTCCGAGGACTTGCCCTGACTCAGCCGTAGAACTGCTGATTTCTTTCTGCCTCCCCTGGCCCTTCCTTTCTGCTTCACCATATGCCTCTCCAGTCTTCTCCTGAACATGAAATGGAGAAAATTATACATTTAACTCACATAAGTTGAAACGTGAAAGCTCTTTGGAAAATGGGTTGTAAAGGCCTGTGGTGTGGCAGGTGGTGACTAGAAGGAAGTTTCCTAGCAGTAATTGTTTGGTTGTTGACCTCGATGTTGGATGTGACGAACTAGCCTTCAGCATCTTTCACTAAACTGCCTGTTCTTAGCTCAGAGAGGCAGTTTACCAAACTCTGCTACACACCAGCATGTTTGGAAGAATAATCCTCGATACCTGTTGAGTGGCTCTTTTGGAAAAAAAGAGGATTTGACACCGAACCGCTTGCAAAAGGAGAAGCGTCTATGTGAGTAGTACTCAGTGTCACATGGCCCCGGAACCCTTGGTGCCTTGAGCAGCTGCTCCCAGGGTGGGGGAGAATGTGGCCTAACATGGGAGAAGCCAGGGAGTATCCTTGGACACTGTTTCTGACATCACTCAGAAGTGTTCTATCTTAAAAAAAAAAAGAAAGTTTTTAAATGAAAAGAAAAACAACAAAACAAAATATTCTGTAGATGTGCTTTGGATTGTAGGTTTAAACTACTGTTCATTCTGCATGGTCTTCCTCCAAATTGTTGGAAAATTTGTTAAAACTGTTTGGTCAAGAGTAACATGTTGATTTTTTTCATGCAGTTTTGATGGATATATTTATTAAGGCTCTTTGCATAGGAGTGGTGGAAACCAATCCAAGCTAACTTAAGCAAAAACAATTTTTTACAGGGATTCCACAAGTTTTTTCTAGAATCCAAGGATAGGAACGCAGTTGAATTTCTCCCTCAATACATATCCAACCAAACATCAATTCACTTCCCTTTACTGCACGTCCTTCTCCCATGCCCCTTCCGCCCCTTCCGCACCCCAGCCACCATCATCTCACTATTGAAACAGCCTCATCATTGGTCTCTGGTTCCATGATGCCCTCTTCCAATCCACTTTCCACACAGCGGTGGGTTTTTTTTTTTTTCCTGTTTATGTGCAAATCTGATTGTATCCCTTTTCTAGTTAAAAATCTTTGAATGATACAAGACCCAAAAGCCATAAAATAAAACACTGATAATTTTTACAGCAAAACCTTATGTTTAGAAAAAAGTTCCATTAGTAAAGGAAAATAACTGAAAAAAATGTTTGTGAGAAATATGTCAAAGGATTAATTTCCTTAACAAAATAACTTACAAGTCAATAAGCAAAAGATGACCAAATAGAAAAATGGACAAAGAGCACGAGCAAGGAGTTCGTAGAAAAGCAAACAGTCAATGCAACATGCACTCCCCACGTTGGGGGGTGGCTCAGTGGTCAAGAATCCCCCCGCAGTGCAGGAGACGCAGGAGATGCCGGTTTGACCCCTGGATCAGATCCCCTAGAGGAGGAAATGGCAGCCCACTGCAGTGTTCTTGCCTGGGACGCCCCATGGACACGGGAGTCTGGTGGGCTACAGCCCTAGGGTTGCAGAGGTGGACACGACTGAGCACACAGGCATGTCCAAGGATTCATTTCCTTAACAAAGTGACTCTTACAAGTCAATATAGAAAAGATGGCCAAAGGACATGAGCAAGGAGCTCATAGAGAAGCAAACACAGTCAGGAAGCTTTGTGAAAAGATGCTCAATTTCACCCCTAATTAAAGATACAAATCAGTATGTCAAAGTATCACTGTGTAAATTATGAGGCTTGGGCAAAAATATTTTTATGATTATACCTAGTAGAAGTCAGGAGATGGTAGAACACCCTCCCACACTGCTGTTAGGAATGTGAGTAGATAGACTTTAAAATTTTTATTTATTATTATTAATTTTTTTGACTGTGCTGGATCTTCATTGCCTCACAGGCTTTTCTCTAGTTGCGGCAAGCAGGGGGTACTCTCAAGTTGCGGTGCATGAGCCTCTCCCTGTGGGGGTTTCTCTTGTTTCGGAGCGTGGGCTCCAGGGCGGGAGGTCACTGTGGCTTGCGGGCTCCGGAGCCCTGGCTCAACAGTTGCGGCCCACAGGCTTGCTTGTTCTGCAGCGTGTGGGGTCTCCCCAGAGCAGGGACAGAAGTGTGTCTCCTGCCTTTCCAGGCGGATCCTTTACCGGAGCCAGCAGGGAGGCCCCAGATGGACTATTTTAGGATGGCGGTTTGGCAATAGGAGGGAAAGGTGACGGTACTTAACCTTTGATCCGGCAGTTCCATTTTCAGGTTCAAATGTGTATCTTACATCTTTGTTCATCCTTCTGCTCGGAAGGCTCTTCCATTCTGTGTCCCAGAGCTCCTGGCAGGGAGTAGAAAGGCAAAGGTTGAGCAAAGAAGACTGTCAGGGCGGGGTGGCTCAGAAGCCAGCCAACCACCCACCTTCAGTTTCCTCCTGTCCCATCTACTGATGCTTGGAATAGCATTGATAAGAAACAGATGCCTGTCTTCATATAGTTAAAAAAAAAAAAAAAAAAACCATAAAATGCAAATCCAGCTACAGAAGTAACACAACAGTGCAAATGAATTTTAGTTACAGTAGAATTGGTAACCTGACACCTTGCCACCCCCACCCCCATTTTGGTCATTGGAGTGAGGAAGATATTTTTTTTTTGTCTTTGTAGCAGAGCATTTATTGTGTTGTTTTTTAAACCAAAAAAGTACAAAGGAAGTAAAAAAGAAATGAGTTACAATATACTTGTTTCAAAAAGGAAAAAAGAAGGGAAGAAAGGAGAGAGAGAAAGAAAGAAAATATACATAAAGGTTAGAAAATTCAAACAGTAGAAAAAACACAAAAGGAAATTAAGAGCTCTCCCAGCCCCACCCTTAATATAGCCACTACTGTAATCATTTTTTTCAGGAAAAAATTCATACCCTCAAGTATCTATATATTTTTTCTTTCTGATTGCTCATAGAGGATCCTTTATACTATCTTTACTTTGGCTTTTTGTTTAATAATACACGCTTTCCCTAGGAGAACAAAAAATATCTACCTCATTCTTTTTGAGAGCACCTACCTATTAATTAATACCTATTAATGAGTTTTCCATCTCATTAATATGTCATAGTTATTTTAACTTCCCTTTTGATGGATGCTTTGGTTGTTTGCACATTTTTACTATTTGAGCATTACTGTAGGGAGTATCTCTACATATGTATTCTGGTATCAGAATATGTATTCTGAGCTTTTGTAAGAAAATCTATAAGGTAATTCCTAGCAGTGGGATTGCTGAATCAAGGGTTAGTGTGTTTTAAGTCTTACTGGACACTGCCAAATTTGCTTTCCAGAAAAATTCCACCAAATTTGCCTTGTTGTCCTCAAGTTCTGAGGGTAGTTGTTTACTTACACCCTTGGCAGGGTGAGTGTAAAACAGGTAAATGTTCCTCTCTATTAGCTAAATAACTGATATCTTTGTGTCATTTTGATTTACATTTCTTTGAGTGAGATTGAGTAGCTTTACCATCTTTTCAAATGTTTGTTGCCTCCCCCAACTGCCACCATTAAACAGTGGGGGAAATGTTTAGACATAGAAACGCAGGGACCCAAAGGTGGGGGGATGGAAAGGGATAGGGGAAAAAGGACAGAGGAAAGAAAGATCCGTAGGACAAACCAGGCCTCTTCCTTCCTCTTTCTAGGGCCTACCTGTCTACCTTCAACTGTGCACAGACAGATAGGAGCCGTGAGCAGAGGTATCGCACGTGCTTCCACACCAGGAAACGGAAACTCTTCTCCCTGCTCTCCCCACCAGAGCTGGGAGTTACCACCCCTGGAGCCTTTCCTTCCCCCTGCCCTTCCTCTGCATCCTTTCCCCCACTTCCTTCCCCTGCCCCTTCTCCTTGAAACCTTTCTCTTCCTCCCTTTTTTCCTCTTCTTTATCTCCTAAGAGCTCTTCTCCCTCTTCTACTCCTTCTTACTCCTCTTTCCATCCTCTCTGTTTCCTAAGTCTCTCTCTCTGTCCTTTGAATGGTTATAGCAAGAACTTGAAATTTAATTTGTAGATTGTTACACTGTAGTTATTAAAGTTTTATGTCCTCTTTTCCTAAAATGCTGGTGGTCTAATTGAAAGTTGGGTGGTTTTTTTTTGCTTCTCTCTAGACAAAAATAACATACATTAAGTAACTTTTATTTGTAACCCACTGTTGAAATGTCTTCAACCCATTAACGTTGATTTAAAAAGCAAAACAAAACAACAACAAAAACCAGTTTCTTCTGACTTACTCTAAAGCTTTACATGTAAGTACTTAATAGACGAGCAGAATTTTAGCTAAAGTGTTAGTGTTAGTGGCTCAGTCCTGTCCGACTCTTTGCGACCCCATGGACTGCAGCTCACCAGGCTCCTCTGTCCATGAGATTTTCCAGGCAAGGACACTGGAGCGGGGTGCCATTCCCTCCTCCTGGGGATCTTCCCAACCCAGCGATCGAACCCAGGCCTCCTACTCTGCAGGCAGATTCTTTACTGACTGAGCTACAAGGGAATTTTAGCTCAACATTTTATAACTTTGATGTTGTCAGCCTAAACTAAATCTCTTTGAAGGAGAAAGATGTCATAGGATTGCATATCTGTAATGATATTTTAATACAATGCTTAAAATTCCTTAATTGTTACAGTTGAGCAGTAAAAGTTCCTCAAAAGGAAAAGGAAACATTCACTCTTTACCTTTCCCTTTGGCAGATTCTCTTATGCTGAGGTCACCATTTGTTAAGAGCAGACAGCTTCTTTATGATGACATTGGCAAAGTAAACCCGCGTCTTAGAGAACCCCAAGATCTCTTTGCTTTTTTCTCTGGAAACGCGCTGCTGCAGGCTCCAAGGTGGCCAATAGAATGTGAGGTCATCAAGGAGAGCGTTCATCATATTGGTAATGTGACTTAAGTGTCATGGCCTTGCTGTTCTGATAGTCTGTATTATAGTTTTAAGTTCTATGCATACTAAATTACAAGGCAGGACAGATTCACTATCTGTTAGCTCACTCTGAAATGTTTAAGCTCTGAGAAACTGATCCACACTCCCCAAAGTCAAAAGTTACACTAATGTTTAAATTTATCCATAGGTATTTTACTCTTTTTGATGCAGTTGTAAATGAGAATGTTGTCTTAATTTTTCTTTCATTATTTGTGTATAGAAATGCAATGGAATTTTGTGTATTGATTTTGTATTTTGCAAAATACAAAATTTGTTAATAGTTCTAACAAGTTTTCTGAATTTGTTACTAGTTCTAACAGTTTTCTGATAGAGTCTTTAGGGCTTTCTATATATAATATATGTCAGTGGTAGTTTTACTTCTTACCTTTGCAATTTAAAGAACTTTTATTTCTTTTTCTTGCCTGATTGCTCTGGCTAGGATTTCCAGTACTATGTTGAATAAAGTGGTCAGAGTAGGCATACTTGTTGTGCTCTTGATCTTAAAGGAAAAGCTTTCAGCTTTTCACTGTTAAGTATGATGTTAGCTGTGGGCTTGACATTCATGGCTTTTATTATTTTGAGGTGATCTGTCTATACCACCTTTCCTGAGAATTTTTGTCATAAAGGATGTTGAATTTTCTTCAGATGCTTTTTCTTCACATGTTGAAATAATCATATGATTTTTTTTCCATTTATTTTTATTAGTTGGAGGCTAATTACTTTACATCATTGCAGTGGTTTTTGTCATACATTGAAATGAATTAGCCATGGATTTACATGTATTCCCCATCCCGGTCCCCCCTCCCACCTCCCTCTCCACCCCATCCCTCTCGGTCTTCCCAGTGCACCAGGCCTGAGCACTTGTCTTATGCACCCAACCTGGGCTGGTGATCTGTTTCACCCTAGATAATATACATGTTTCGATGCTGTTCTCTTGAAACATCCCACCCTCACCTTCTCCCAGAGTCCACAAGTCTGTTCTATACATCTGAGTCTCTTCTTCTGTTTTGCATATAGGGTTATCGTTACCATCTTTCTAAATTCCATATATATATGTGTTAGTATACTGTAATGGTCTTTATCTTTCTGGCTTACTTTGCTCTGTATAATGGGCTCCAGTTTCATCCATCTCATTAGAACTGATTCAAATGAATTCTTTTTAATGGCTGAGTAATATTCCATGGTGTATATGTACCACAGCTTCCTCATCCATTCGTCTGCTGATGGGCATCTAGGTTGCTTCCATAATCATATGATTTTTATCCTTTATTTTGTTACTGTGATTGATCACACTGGCTGATTTGTGAATGTTGAACCATCCTTGCAACCCTGGAATAAATCCCACCTGATCATGGTGTGTGATTCTTTTATGTATTGTTGAATTCAATTGTGTCTTTATAGGCCCTTGGCTTTCATCAGTGGCTTCCTGTACTTAAAATGGCAGGAAGTTGCCCAAGTCCCATATGAGAAATCTTTCAGAGCTGAGTGTTAATGAAGAAACCTTGTTTCCTCTGAAGAAATTGGTATACTTGTTCCTTTATAATAATAAGAAAAATGTAGCTGATCGTATTATCCTGTCTTGGAAGTTCAGGGACACATTTTGTAGAGTTGTTGCACCAACTTTCTGGCTTATTTTTAAGTCTTATACTTCTGTTGTATATGATTTTTGTTAAAAATTTCTCCATAGTCTTTATAGAAAGAAGCAAGATATAATTAATTTACAAATACACGGGAAACTTAGGATTGGAATTTGATTTGATTCAACCAGACTAGCCATTTGAATAATCATTATTTTATATCAGTTATAATAAAGTACCTTTTATATTATTTCTTATTTTATACTTTTTCAATGCCTTCTTTCAGAATGGGTTCCACCTCAACCAGAATATTTCTATCAACCTACAGGAAATGAAAAGATACCAGAAATTGCAGGAGAAGAAAAAGGCACAATTGTCTATCAGTTAGATTCAGGTATTGTTATCACACCAAACAGTGAGTAATTAATCATGACCAAATTACAATAAACATATTTTCTATAATAAAAGTGATTTTTAAAAATCCATAGTTTAGTGGTAAACTGAGTGATAGCCCTGAAATTCATAACTGATCAGTTTTAAATGTTTAATCACTTTTTAAAAATGATAGTACCTTTTCTTAATACTTCTGAGTCCATTTCATAACTTCTTCTCTATTGTTCTTCCTGAAAATCAGATGTTGGATCTTTGGGGAATTTCTCATCTTTTCTCCACCTCCTATATTGTAGTGAGTACTTTGTAGTATGTGTATATGACTGTCATTTATGCTGTAGTTTCCTGCATTAATTTGCAGGCATCCTATTGGTAGAATTCATGTCTTTTATAAAAAAGACATGGGACACTGTACCCAAGAACAAGATACATATTCTTTTCAAGGGTACCTGGTAAATTCCCCAGGATATACCATACATAAGGTTATAAAGCGAGTCTTAGTGTGTTGAAAAGGACTGAAGTCATACAAAATATATTCTCTGACCACAGCAAAATTAAATTAGAAATCAACAGCAAAATGAAATCTGGGAAATCTACAAAATATTTGCAAATTAAATAACACATTTCTCTTAAGTAACCTACAGGTTAAAGAAAACATAAGCGTTCAAAAATATTTTGAACTGATAGAAAATAAAACCACATATCAGAATTTATGAGATGTAGCTAAAGCATTGCATGGTCAGTTTACGACTTTAAAGCCTGTATTTAAAAAAAAGGAAGATTTCAAATCAGTTACCTAAGCCTCCACCATAACAAGTTAGAAAAATAAGAGCAAACTACATCCAAAGTGAGCCAAAGGGGACTTCTCTGGTGATCCAGTGGTTAAGAGTCTGCCTACCAACGCAGGGGACATGGGTTTGACGGTCCAGGAAGATCCCACATGCCACCGAATAACAGCCTGTGAGCCGCAACTGCTGAGCCTGTGGTCTGGAGCCCAGGCCCAGCAACGAGAGCCCCCACGGCAGTGAGAAGCCCGCCGCGCAGTGAAGAGCAGCCCCTGCTGACCGCAACTGGAGCAAGCCCGTGTGTGGCAGCAGACGTCCAGCACAGCCGTAAGTGAATAAGAGTTTCTTTAAAGCAGCAGAAGGAAGGAAGTAATAAAGAGGAAAATGGAAGTCAGGGAAATAGAACAGTAACGTAGGAAATCAGACCAAGGGTTGGTGTTTTTGGAAACATCAACAAACTTGACAAAACTTTAGCCAGACCAACCAAGGAAAAAGGAGAGGAGACACAAATGATCAAAATTAGGAGTGAAAGGGGACACAGATACCAACTCTACAGAGATCAAAACAATTACAAGGTAATGCTAAGCTAGCAAATTAACACAGACGGAGGAAAAGTTGCTGGGAAAAAAACAAGTATTATCAAAACCGCCTTAGGAAGAAATAAAAAGTCTAAATAGATTATAACAAAGAAACTGAATCAGTAATTCAGAATCTTCCTGGGAAGAAATCCCTGGCACAGATGGCATAACGGGATTTATTTGAATTGTACCGAACATCTAAAGATGAAATAGCCCTAATTCTTCAAAAACTTTGGAAACAGAAGAAGGGGAAACATTTCCTACCTCTTCTTGTGAAGCCAGTATTCAAAGCCAGACAAAGGCATCACAAGAAAACTATAGGTCAGTATTCCTCATGAATATAAACGCAAAAATCCTCAACCAAATACCAGCAAACCAAATTCAGCAGCATATTGAAAGGACTGTACCCTGTGACCAGGAGAGACTTGTTAAAGGAAGCCGACGGTGGTTCAACATAAGAAAATCGATGTGACAAGCTACATTAATAGAACAAAGAGGAAAAAAGCTACACAGTCATCTCAGTCAGCACAACAGAAAGCATTGGACAAAATCCAACCTTTCATGATAGCGTTCTGAAAACTGGAAATCGAGAATTTCCTCTGTTCAATATTCTTTACTGATATTGTATATTTATTGATAAGATATTTATGGAAAGGATGAATCAACTTCAAACTCACTAACACAGCCGTAACAACAGTAGAGACAGTAACAAGTGCTGGGGAGGATGTGAAGCAGATGGTAATAGTAACCTTGAAGGCAGAAAGGAGATGGCATGTTAAAGAACTGTGAATCAATAGATAGAAATGGTCAGAAGAGAAGTCAATTTTATTAAGAGGAGGAATATGTACCAAGTGCAATTAGTAGAAATGGAATGTCAGTCAATAAAATCTTGGAGAGGGGGCTAAGAAACAGCAAGAGATAGGAAAGTGGAAGCTGCAATGGGTTTACATTCCTACCACGAGAAAATCAAATGAGCGGCTGTCAGCAGCGAGGGCCCATCTGAGATGTGGCTATACACCCTCTCCTCCCAGCTGCCTTGATTTTGTACTTTCATCTCACTGTTTTGGCAAAACTTACTATATTCAGTGAGGTAGAAAAGATAAAGCAACTACCTAGCTCCACTTTATGGAACGTCTGAGGAGGAGTTTGGGAGACTAAAATCTGAGATCAGGGGACTTCCGAGGCAGTCCAGGGTTGAAACTTTCCTTCCAACGTAGGGCGTGCAGGTTCAATCTGTGGTTGGGAAGCTAAGCTCTCACGTGCTTCGTAGCCAAAACAGAAAACAGAAAAAAAATATTGTAACAAATTAAATAAGGACTTTAAAAATGGTCCACATAAAAAAAATTTTTTTTAATAAAATCTGAGATTGTAAGTCAGATGACTTGAGTTATAAATAATAGGGGATGTATCGCTCCTAGGACCCCAAGAAATTCTTGGTATCATAAGCCTGTGTTACCGTGGAGCCTGTTTTACCTGTGGGTGACCTTGTAGTCATTTTCAGTAAACCAGATGACCGTGCATCCCCACTGCATCATGGGTTCTATCCAGATGTATTTCTACAGAGGGAGAAACCCTGGCACTGAGAGCTCCTTCTCCTGATATGACAGCTTTTGTGGATTGTCCTGTTAATACACATTTGTGGCAGCTGTCTTGATCTTGCCTTTGGACTCATCAAGTGGAGTTAAGCCCACCCTACTGGAGGAATGAGGAAACTGAAAACTGGGAAGATGGGGCTCCGGGGAGAATCTGGGGGTTTGTTAGGAGTCCTAGAGCAACCACATGCTATAAGAATGTTGTGGGTTAAATAAGAAAGAGGTTTTGTTTTTGAGACATGTTACTGTGGGCTATGAATTCAATCATTTTTAATGTTACCTAAGAGACTCAAGAAAATATTGAAATCCCTATATTAATGACATCTGGTTGCTGGTCTGTACATTGATTGTGGTTCCTTGAAAAGATTGAACAACATGGAACTCCAGCTCTTTAAATGGATTATACGTACTCTTGCTGCTTTCTCTGCTTTTACTTCCTCTGTGCTTTTACTCCCATTTTATACTCACTTTCTTCTTTGCTTTCATTTATTATCCAAATTACTTACTCTCTAAGTCTCCACAGTGACAAGGTTTCATATAGAAGCAAAAGTCATAATGTGAATATATCTACTAATGAAGTAGAAGCAGGCCCTGTACATATTTCTATTTGTTTAACGCATGTATCTATCCTGCCCCGTGGTCAGGATCTTTGTTGATGTCAATCATTTGTTGATTGGTAGATATTGCTAACATCTGACACATAATGCAAGTATAGTAAAAAATGATTGCAAAGTGAAATTATCCACATAAGTGATGCAAGATTGTATGAAGTCTGTGAATGTTAAATAATTACTTGCTTCACTTGCAAAGCCATTGAGTACTGAGAATATAGAAATTTCTTATTTAAATACCCCTTGTTGTTAAACTAGAATAGTGCTGAACACAGAAAAGCTTAATAAACATATACTGGATAAGTGGATTCTGAGTTGAACTTGGACTAAATATATCTATCTCATCCACAGTGCCCACCGAAGATTCCTATTTTACCAGCTCCAGAGTGGGAGGCAAACGGGGAATTATCAAGGAACTCTCTGTCTCCTTACAAGGACCAGAAGATAATACTCTGCTGTTTGAATCAAGGTTTGAGAGTGGGAACCTGCAGAAAGCTGTCAGAGTGTGAGTAACAGAGAGGAATTTCCCAAAGGGATGAGGACTGAAGTGACTGAGATGTGTCTTCAGGAATCATGTTAAGGAGTCAGGAGTGTTTTTGTAAAAGAGAAAAGTGATGAGAGATGATGGTGAAGACAGTGAAGAAGAATGAAATAATTGTGACTCATTTTCCTCCAGGAAAAAAAAATTATCCAAACTTTTTTGTACTTCTAAAATAAATGAGTGCACATTTGAAATTTGCTTTATGGACCTGAAATAGACTGTTAGATATTTCTCCAGCAAGCATGCCCTTATTCAAGATCGACAGAGAATTGCAGTTCGGGGTCTGCAGCCACAGGGAGCCAGGAAAGCCCTGTAATGCAGGGAGGCAGAACACTCTAAGAGGAGAAGGAAGTTGGAAGACGTTAGTAAACAGAAGGTTCGCAGCTTGTCATTGGCTGCGTCTTTACCAGGAAGGAGAGTTCTTCCTGTTGGGCTCCACTGTCATTGCAGGGCTTGAGAGCGCCCTCTTGTGGTCTCCCAATTCTGTTTAATTAGGGTTTCTGTTCGTTAACTTTACAGTCTTAATAAAAATGTTGTTGTTTAGTTGCTAGCCCACCAGGCTCCTCTGTCCACGGGATTCTCCAGGCAAGAAGACTGAAGTGGGTTGCCATTTCCTTCTTCAGGGATCTCCCCAACCCAGGGATCAAACCCACATCTCTTAAGTTAGCAGGTGGATTCTTTACCGCTGAACCACCAGGGAAGCTCCTTAACAAATACCTAACATAAAAAGTTGAAGTCCCATTAATCATACCTCCCAGATGCAGCAACGGTTTATATGTATTAATTTTTGTGTATATGCATTAACTTTTTTCTCATGTTTTAAAAAACAGTACGCATACTGTTTTTTTTTTTTAATACATACTGTTTTGCATGTTGGCTTTTTCCACTTAATAAATTTTAAATGTTTTCTTATGGCCGTACCACAGATGCATCTCCTTATTTTTAATAGCTCATATTGTCCTATCGTATGGATACTCTATACCTTATTCAGCTTTTCCCCAACTGATGGGAAATGAAGATGTTTACAATTTTTGGCTTAATGAATGAATACCCTTATGCATTCGCATTTTTAAATATTGATGGTGTTATGAGACAAATCCTAGACATAAAATGGTTGGGTCAGGGTTTGATCACTTCAATAATGCTAGATTTTGTCCAGTTGTCCTCCTAGCATGATTTCAGTCCCCATCAGCAGCATTGAGAGTGCCTGTTTCCCAGCTCTGGAATGCCAATGAGATGGAGGCAGAAGGGACGGCTTATTTTAGTTCGTACTTCATGAGTTATGCTTGTGGATGAGTATCTTTCCATGATCTCTGGCATTTGTATGTTGTCTTCTGCAAGTTCACCAAGGTGAAAGCTTTCCAGAAATGTCCCCTCATCTTTAAATAAGTGAGGATCAGATACATAAAGACAGCACAGAGGACTTGCAGGTCTCTTCCACAGAGATGATATCCAGAAAGCAGCTAACATCCAGCACTGGCTCTGGCTTCACTGCTGGTTACTGCACTTCAGAGAGAGGTGCTGAAGTGCTTAGAAACTGCTATTGGATGCTCTTGAAAGATAGCAGGGAGCTCACGGTGCTCCCCAGCATGCTATGCAGCAGTGTCAGCTTTGAGGCTCTTCCTATCCTGCCCCGAATAAGTTTTCTTTCCCCAAGTTCCTGCTAGCCTGATACATGAATTGGAAAACTAGGGAGAATAGAAAATAAATGTTTGTTACAGCAGGCTTTTCTGTTGTAGCAAGATCTGTTTTTATCAGGAGAAAACAGTATTTGTTTTTTGAGGGGCGAGTGGAGTTACAGAGAGATGCTTCTGTGTTCTCTATTCCAGAAACACCTACGAGTATGAACTCACCCTGAGAACTGACCTCTACACAAACAAGCACACTCAGTGGTTTTATTTTCGAGTTCAGAACACCAGGAAAGACGTCACCTATCGCTTCACCATCGTCAACTTGCTGAAACCCAAGAGCCTCTACACTGTAGGGATGAAGCCGCTCATGTACTCCCAGTTGGATGCCAGCACCCGCAGCATTGGCTGGCGGAGAGAAGGGAAGGAAATCAAGTACTACCGGGACAGCACCGGGGACGGCCAGCAGCCCTCTTACTGTCTCACGTGGACCGTTCAGTTTCCACATGACCAGGACACTTGCTTCTTTGCACACTTCTACCCGTACACGTACACTGACTTGCAGCGCTTCCTCCTGTCGGTGGCAAACAGCCCCATCAAATCTCAGTTCTGCAAACTCCGGACCTTATGTAGGAGCCTCGCAGGAAACAACGTCTACCTGCTCACCATCACCAACCCAGCTCGGACCCCTCAAGAGGCAGCTGCGAAGAAAGCTGTGGTCTTGACTGCCCGCGTGCACCCTGGGGAAAGTAACGGCTCCTGGATTATGAAAGGCTTTTTGGACTTCATCCTGAGCAACTCCCCAGATGCTCAGCTCCTCAGAGATATCTTTATCTTCAAAGTGGTCCCCATGTTAAATCCAGATGGAGTGATCGTGGGGAATTATCGGTGTTCGCTGGCTGGAAGGGATTTGAACCGGCATTATAAAACCATTCTGAAGGAGTCTTTCCCCTGCATCTGGCACACCAGGAATATGATCAAGAGGTGAGGCTTCTCCCCGTTGGTCTCACACTGTCAGCACTGTCTGATGTGTGCGACCTTTTCCGGTGGCACAGGAGGCAGGACTGGTTTGGGGGGCAGTCTTTAATGTTCTCTCTGTAGCCATGTGGGTTTGGTAGTTTTCACATTTTAAAATCATGTCTTATCTTTGGATTGAAACTAAACATGCAGTATTTCACTAGAGGTGTTTCACCTAAGTGAAATGACTGAATGTAAAAGGTCAAAAGTCAGGGAGTTCGTAAGTCTTCGTGATGAGACTTGTATGATAAGAATAACAGTACTTGACCATTCGTCAGCTCTTGTGTACAACAGGCAGCATTCTCAGCGCTTCCCACCTGACCGGTTAGTCTCACGTTCGCCCTGTGAGGTGGGCACCGTCAGTGTCACCATTTTATATGTGATGAGGAAGGGAAGGCCCGGAAAAGCTGAGAAACTTGCCCAAGGTCATACAGCTAGTTCTCTGGTTGCAGAGTCTGAATTCCTTGTTATCCTCTTATAAAGAAAGAATAATAAATCAATTTGCATTTTCTGAGCCAATGTAAAAGTAGTTGAAGACTAATGATACAATAGCACCCACCTTAAAGGAGCTTCCGTTTCACTGGACCTGAAATTGCAGCGCATAAGACTCACACGCCTTCTCGCCGTATCTGTGTGAACGGCTGAGAAGAGCTTTGGGTTGATAGACAGAATGGCTCAGAGTGTATATTGGCGTTGGGCAGGCCTGGCTGTGAGATCTGGTTTTACTACTGTGACCACGGAAGCCTCAGTTTTCTTGTCTGTAGAGTGGGGATAATAATACCTGCAAATGGTAACCCACTCCAGTACTCTTGCCTGGAGAATCCCATGGACGGAGGAGCCTGGTAGACTACAGTCCACGGGGTCGCAAAGAGTCGGACACAACTGAGCGACTTCACTTTCACTTTGGGTGGTTACTGTGAGGCTTAAATGAGATAGTGCATGTTATCTACTTAGCACAGTCCCCTGCATGTTAAAGATGTGGCATTGTTACCATCATCACCGAGAAGGTGACTGTGTTTGGAAGACTGAGTAGGTGTCCTGGTCATCCAGAGACAGGAGCTGAGTCTTAGAGGAACTAACCCCGGAATGTCAGAAACCACAGCTGTCTTTGGTTCTTTCCCCTGTCTGCCTGTCTCCACTGGTCTGCACCGGGCAGCGGGGGGTGGGGGGGGGGAGCTTTCTTTCAGTGGATTTTCTCCTCTCCTTCACAAGGCCCACCCATCTCTGCTTTCCGTGGCTGGCAGGGCAGAGAGTGCTGGAGGCACGTTTCCATCAGGGATGGGGCTGGGGGTCCTTTGAAGGTCATTAGGGGCTAAAATTTTCTTAGGAGGGAAAGTATCAACAGACATGCTTAAGGAAGAGACTCCAAGGGATCCTTGACTATTTTCATGCTTTGTATACCCAATGGCCCTTTGTCTGCACCCCCATAGACTCCTTGAAGAAAGGGAGGTCCTCCTGTATTGTGATCTCCATGGCCACAGCCGGAAGAATAACATCTTCCTGTATGGTTGCGGTAACACTGATCGCCAGTTCTGGCTTCATGAGCGAGTCTTTCCTTTAATGTTAAGCAAAAATGCACCAGATAAGGTAAGCACGAAAGGTAATTTCCTGTCCACTGACTAAGGGAGAAAGATAACTCATCCATTCCTGTATGCAATGTCTGATTTGCCACTTTGTTGCTCTTCATTATCTTGGGTAAATCCCAGAAAGCTGGGCTTCCAAGACCTTAGAAGATTGTGGCTTTAAGAATGACACTGTATTATTCATTGTCCAATGAAAAGATAAATAAAATGTAGCATATCCACACAATGGAATGTTATTTGTCAGTAAAAAGAACTGAGCAGTGATAACACCAGGACTCAGATGAACCTTGAACACATTATGCTAAGTGAAAGAAGCCAGACACAAAAGGCCACATGTTATCTGATTCTGTCCTAGGAAATATTCAGAAAAGGCAAATCCATAGAGACAGAAGGTGGGTTACTGATTGCCTAGGGCTGATGCAGAGAGGGAGGGTGGCGTGGGGAGTGACAGCTAATGATGGGTCCTGGGTTTCTTTTGGGGAAATCAAAATATTCTAAATTTAGGTTGTGGTAATGGTTGCACAACTCTGTGAATATATTTAAGCCACTGAATTGTGTACTTTAAATGTGTGAATTGTATGGTATGTGAATAATATCTCCATAAAGATGATTTTTTTAAAAATTGCTATTGGCTGCTTTGCCCTGGGTGTAAGTTCAAACTCTTAACAGGTAGAATTCTCTGCCATCTTTCATCCTGTGACTGGCAGTGGAAGAAGGGATTGAAAGACAAAACGCTCATGTTATATGAGCCTCTACAGAAACATGTATGTAATACAAGATCACAAATAACTGTAAGACAGCAGAGAACTAATAAAAACAACTTAAATGTCTTCAGTAGTTGGTTGAGAAACAGCTCTGTGACAGTTGTATCTGCGCTGATTTAGAAGTTGGTTTTCAACATCGTAAATAGAGTCACAAAGTGTGACTGGCATTGGAAAGAAGAAGCTAAATTGGGTTTAGAAAAGTATTTAAATGATACTGCAGATTTTTCTCCCATAAAGATAGAAGACAGGGACTTCCCTGGTGGTCCTGTGGTTGAAAGTCCACACTTCCACTGCAAGGGGCAAGGGTTTGATCCCTGATCAAGGATCTAGGATCCTGCATGCTTCCTGGTGCAGCCAAAATAAATAGAATAGGAATAAAAACGTCCCTTTAAAAATAATTAGTCCTGAAAAAATCAAACAAAAAAGATATAGGACAAAGGAATCCCCTGGGGGTCCAGTGGTTAGGACTTGGCTGTTTCACGGCTGTAGCCTGGGTTCAGTCCCTGGTCAGGGAACTAAGATCCCACAAGTTGTGCAGTGAGACTGGAAAAAAATATAAATAGGACAGATATTTTATATCTGTGACTTACTTGTTAAAAAAGAAAAAGGAAGCTTTTCTTCCTTTTGCGCTCTTTCCCTCCCTGCCTCCGCTCTTTCTTTTCTTTTTTTAATCTTCCTATTTTTTTCCAGGAATCTCTTTCTTTCTTCAAATGAAATTGCATCCAGAACCCAGTATCTAAAACTTGAACAAACTCTTTGGCCAGCCCAATATATGTTTACAAATTCCAAATGAGGAAAGAGTTGGAGTGATCATGAAATACGATGGAGGCTATTGAACTCCAAGCTAGGGCCACATTAATGTTAGGAGGTGGGGAGAGTCCGGGCAGAGGTTACAGGGTGAGGCATACACAAATCATAGATAGAGGATAAGGGTTCGAGATCCAAGGGTTCAAGGTGGGGAGGGTAGAGAATAAATCTCATGCTGGCTGGTACCTTGAATACTAAAGTAAGCCAGCATTCCCAAACAGGTCGTTCAAAGAACCCTGGTCTTACAGAATGTCCCTGCGGAAGGTGGGAAAGGAAAGGAAGAGTTCACAGGCCATGAAAATCAGAATCTACTCTCTCCCCTAGTGAGAGGCACAGTCCACAATGACACGTTAAATGAGAGGTCCTGCGGAGAAGGCCTGTTTAACTGGGTTAAACCTGTATCTCCCCGACCAACACGACTGCAGAACTCATTTTCCCTCTGCAATATCTCTGACAGCCCTTGGTATTTTATGGAGCATATGTTAGAAACCAATAGATACTTCCTTTTTTTTTTTAAACCATATTAGTGAGTTTTATTTATTTATTTATTTATTTTTAAATTTTAGACATCTTACATTTGCCAGTTTATGATGAACAGAGGGTTTGGATTTCTCTTTAGTTTTCTTTTCACAGTTGTAACTTTAAAGTCCAAAAGTGCAAAGAAGGAACAGGACGAGTTGTGATGTGGCGGATGGGAATCCTAAACAGCTACACCATGGAGTCTACTTTTGGCGGGTCCACCCTGGGTAAGCTGTCTTTCGTAGATCACGGGCCGTTATGGCAAGAGGAAGCCAAGCCAAGCACTGGCGAGGTGAAATTCCGTTGAATGTTGGGGAGATAATTGAGCTAGAAGATTTTCTTGTCTGCACTTTAATGTTAAATTTGAGAACCCAAACTACGAGTGTGAAGTATGATATAGGTGTGTAAGTATCACACACATCATATAGCGTGCAGGATGGCACAGTGGGTGCTCGGGGCCTGGAGATACGGCAGGTCCGGGTCTGGGTTTCCGCCGCGTGCATGCTCAGTCACTCAAGTCGTGCCTGACTCTGCGACTGCATGCACTGTAGCCCGCCAGGCTCCTCTGTCCCTGGGATCCTCCAGACAAGAATACTGGAGTGGGTTGCCATCTCCTCCTCCAGGGGATCTCCCCTACGCAGGGATCAAGCCCACGTCTCCTGCGGCTCCTGCTTTGGCGTGCAGGTTCTTTACCACGGAGCCGCCTGGGAAGCCCTTTGAATTTGCTTTAACTGGCAATAATATCAGTGCTTGTGAGATCGTGCACGTAAAGCATTTGGCCTAGTGCTTGTCACAAAGTGAAACCTCAGTACTTTAGGCATCGTGATTGTAAACGATCATTGTCAAAGGCTCTCCTGAAGTAGACTATGAGAGAGACCCTGACCAGAAGCATACTATTCTAGAATCAGAGGGGGTGTTTTTAATGAGATGTTCATAAATTAGATTTGCATTTGCTCATGAAGACTTAATAAGAAGTCCTATGGATTTTTTTGTCCCCAGGCAATAAAAGAGACACTCACTTTACCACTGAGGATCTGAAATCCCTGGGTTATCATGTCTGTGACACCCTTCTCGATTTCTGTGATCCTGACCGAACCAAGGTAAAAATGGGCTTTCAAGACATGTGGTGATGTCACTGTGATCATTGTCACACAGGTCCAAAGTCAACCCAGCGGTGTTACAGGTGATCTTTATTTTCCTCCTCATATTTTTCTGAAGTTTTTGTAATCAAAGTAAGTAAGAAAAGCCCCAGTCTGCACACTCCCAGCCGACGGTACGACCTCGTGCCTCCTCGGGAGCGGGGGCCATGCGCCCCTTCCGAGCAGCCACCTCCCCCTCACTCTGGGCTTGCCTGTGGCGGCGCCGGTGCCAGCTTCCCTCCCTCCTGTTTCAGAAAAGCGGGTGTCCTTTCTCCTCTCCAGAACTGTTCCTGCCCTTGCTGCGCTGGCCAGCCTCCCCTGTGGTCTCCCTGAGGTCTTGCCTTATTAAATAACTCGTCTCTTTTCTGGGCCTGTTTTTTTTTTTCCCTTTTCTTCTTCCTCCCAACAGCAGATGTTCTCAAGCTGCCCCCATCCTAAAGCACAAGCAGAGACTTCCTTTGGCGTTGTTTTTCTGGGAGCTTATTTCTGTTTCCCTTTATTGTTCACCTTCTTGAAAGGGAGCCTGGACTCATGGTCCCTAACTCATCTCTCATGCCCCCTCGGAAATGTCCACCCTGGGAACACGTGACATGCACCACTCAGGATGCTGCTGTTCAATAAAAAAAAACACTTAAAGGAGAATTTGGCCTCAGCATAGAGCCTCTTAAATCAGATTTGCCAGAGGCCACAATCTGAACAACCCCATTCTAACTTTTCCTTCTTTGTTACTCAAAAAAATGAAGCAAATCCAACCTTTGCATTGTTCAAGAAGTTTATTATTAGCTATAACCAAGGGAATGTCTAAAGCAGTGTTCATTGACATTCTTCTTTAAAAATGCTTCTGCCTGTTCCCACCGCTCATGTAATTTATTGTTAACATGCCTTTAGTAGCAGAGGTTTTGGTTTACTCATCCTTAAGTCCCCAGAAATAAACAAAGTGCCATTCAGCAGATTTATTATATGAATAAATAAATGAATAATCAAGAACAGCATTTTTTTTTTTCAATTCCATAGTTCATGCAGTGTCTGGCAGAGCTTAAAGAGCTCTTACAACAGGAAATCCATAAGAAATTCAAGGAACTTGGACAAGATATGGATTTAGAAAGAAGCTGGAGTGACATCTCTTTGTCTGACATTGAATCCAGGTAACAAACTTCATTTCAAAGAAAAACCAGAGAGGTTCTGTTTTTTTGAATTATTTTCTTGCTTGCTCTGTTGTGTTGGTTTTGAACCTCAGAGGCAAAGTATTGAATAAAATCATGGGACCCTTAGATACACTTTGTTCTTTCGACAACTAGGTATTAAGTGCCTGATCTTTGTTAGCCTCCCTTCTCGGCTCTGGAAAGGGTTAGAGAGCCCTGATTTGTGGCCCCAGAGTAGTTCTGCCAACTCAGTCTCCCAGAAGTCTCTTTAGGAACCTTAAAAACCAGACCATCAGGCCAGGGAGGGCGTCCCATTCACCATGTCACCTCTCCCACTCTCCTGGAAGCCTCTGCCTAACTCACAAGTTCCACTGCACCAAGGCCTCTTCACTTTCGGCATCAAAAACAAAACGCCTCCTGCGTATCAATTGCTACATGTCAGGCCCAGTGGGGACTGACTCAAAAGCATCCTGACTGCATCCCAATAGGCTCAGCAGGGATACCCTGATGGATTTAGTGAGGAATTATTGAATCCAATCTGTCAGCCTCAGCACCAGCCTCCATGGGGCTCTCCATTCATGGCATCACACAGAACAGCGGGCTGCGTGTGCAAGCCTCGTGTGAGCTGTGTCTGTGTGCACACACCTGGTTTTAGACATCTTCTGGGGCGACCACATCTAACACTTCTGTCCCCTTTGTTCATGTTTTGTATTATCTCCAAAAGGGACTTCAGAGGCTATTCTCTAGCGGCCTCAAAGGCTGCTGCTCAGACTGGAAAAGCCTGTGAGAACAGGGAGCTGGGAGTTAGGAGAGAAGCGAGCGCTTTCTCCCCGCTGCTTTGCTGAGAGGAGCACGAGCGGGCTGGGAAGGCTGGCCTTTTCCCAGGAGGTCTGAGCTTTGTGCCTGAGACGTTTTCCATACACGGAGGATGTGTCACAGAGCACAGCTTGCAGTTCTCGCCAGCCACACCCCAGGGAAGGGGAAAACCAAGGACAGGATGAAGGGAGAAGGGATGGGGTATCTGAGTCCTCATTCAACCTAGCCTGTGAAGAAAGGAGGGGAGGACGGTTTGCGGGGGCGGGGGAGGCGGGGAACTTCAGATCAGTCTAGAGGTTCCTCTGAAACTTTCAAAGGAGGATTTGGGGCCTTAAGAGTAATGCTCCTAATCTGCACCTACAGATCTTTGGTTATTAAATGTATCTATTTGTATCTTCAACGCATTCTTAAAGAGTAACTAGTCACATCCCTGCTCTCTGAGCTGGTACTGACTAGACGGGTCATGCGCACTGGAAAAAGCCCCTGCTTTCAGACAAACTACAGCCCCTTGCTGTTCTCTCCGGCTGCTGCCAGAGAATCCCACAGCCTCTCAGTCACTGCCAAGGGCAGCTTTGTCCATCTGGCCAGTATTTATTTTGCCACACGGGTCATCTCTGTTTCCTGTGCCTGATGCACTGCCTGGCATGCTGGAGGTGTTTGCAATGAATGAGTGGATGGGCTTGTCTTGATTTCTTAGTAATTGAAATACACATTGCGGGCAAATAGCAGAGTAGGTGTCCTCACCCCATGCCCCTGTTCTGGTCAGTTACACATCCTAGACATTAATGACAAGTCTTTCCCTTTTCCTTTCCTTCTGGAAACAGCACCAGCGGTTCTGACAGCTCCCTCTCGGATGGCCTCCCTGCTCACCTTCTGAACATAGCAGATGAGGTGAGATTTCAGAGACTCTGACACCCAGGAAGTAGCAGCCTAAGAAAAGGCCTGACGCTCCTGAGCATTTTGGAGGAGTTTTCAGCCGTCCCAAGATCTGCAGAAAATACAGCAATAGCGTCCTAACTGGTTACCCTGCCCTGGAGGCCTTCTTTCTGTCCTTTGTAACTTTCTTCTTTAAAACCTATAGAGGAAAAATGTGAGGACTCCACATATATTCCAAAATTAACAAAAAGTGAGGGGGAAATGTTTAACTTAAAGTGAAAACCACGTTAAGAGATAGAAGTTGTTAAAAACGACCCACACATTTTAAAAAGGGTTGAAAAGTATTTTTGTTTACATGATCTTAAGTAGTTTTCTGTATTTCTATATAGTAAGTGATATTTTTGCCCTGTCTGTTCACAGACTTTGTTTTTTACATAGATATTATAAGAGCTTTAGAGACAGCAAAATATTTGTTGTGGTTCACTATGCATTTGATTTCCTAGTTGCATTAAGAAAGATTCCTCCTAGGGTGAATTTAAGGCTATGTCAGATGAGCCAGCCATACCAGACTAGACCCTATAATTTCTTCAGCTGGATTTACAGCAGCATCAGAATAAGCTTCACCACACCATGGGTACCTGGAAAATTAGTCCCAAGCTTCATTTGCTTAATTATTAAAGCTGCCTTGTGGTGACAGACAAACTGTATCAGTTCATCCCACAACCATCAGTCAGTATCGTCTGTACTCACCAGTATGTGCTTTCACATTTATATCACAGATACTTGGTTATTGGTATAGGTGCCCCTTTGGCAGTATATCTATAATAGGGGGGTTTAGGCGTGTTAAGTGGGAAGGGGTCTCTAGTAATGAGGTAACTGAACTGGTTTTTGGTTCTCCAAACCAACAACAGTTCAACACACTGTGAGGGCCCGCATCCCGGGTTAGCAATGGTGTCTTGAGCATTGTGTGAGAAGAATACTCCCTATGGGTGGATGTCTCTCTGGAACCCTCAGTGGCTAATTTCTCTGTGCTTTCTGAAATAGTTGAATCAGAAGAAGATGATGTATAAGAAGAAAAAAAAGCCACTTAAGTCGAGAAAACAGCGAAACAAACAGTATCAGAAAAATACTTTGATGCCGGACTCAGAGATAACTGAAGACGCCCCAGTAAGAAAGCCCTGCTGCCTGTGTCTGCTGTCTGGTTAGAGCATTCCGCAGTGGGTGCAGGACAGAGTTGAGGTTTCCTCTAAATCAGAAAGGGAATGGGAAATGGGACAGAGGGGCGTTTTCTATGTGGGTTTCAGAGCTCTTACCCAGGTCCTCAAAAGGAAAAGCTTTTGCACTGTAGTGTTGGAGAAGACTCTTGAGACTCCCTTGGATGGCACGGAGATCCAACCAGTCCATCCTAAAGGAGATCAGTCCTGGGTGTTCATTGGAAGGACTGATGCTGAAACTGAAACTCCAATACTTTGGCCACCTGATGTGAAGAGCTGATTCATTTGAAAAGACCCTGATGCTGGGAAAGATTGAGGGCAGGAGGAGAAGGGGATGACAGAGGATGAGATGGCTGGATGGCATCACCGACTCGATGGACATGAGTTTGAGTAAACTCCAGGAGTTGGCGATGGACAGGGAGGCCTGGCGTGCTGCAGTCCATGGGGTCGCAAAGAGTCGGACACAACTGACCTGGGTCCTCTGACATCCCTGAGCATATTTCAGCTTGGCCTTTCCATTGGCCTCTAGCACAGCAAGTGCAGGAGCCCACCAAGTCTGGATTTGCAGAGGAAGGAGGCAGTGCCGGAAAAGTGGTGGCAAGAGCCCGTCCAGAGTGGCTGGGTGGTGAGAGATCAGGCCTGGTACAGGCCAGGGCCACTTGGGCACCTCCTTCCTCACAGCCACACCCACACCGCACCCCCTGCCCTCTAAAGATGAAAATGCCTTCAGAGGCGGGAGATTTGCCCCTGGGTGAATCGGGTCTGTTGTGAGTAGATTAATTGTAACAGTGCAACTGAAAACTGTTCTTCTTGCAATCCTTCTAGGAAAGGGCAAGATTTCCTTCTCTGCAAAAGCATCCTGCTTTTTTCAGAACTTCAGAGAATGCCAGTTCTTCAGTGATAAATAATGAAAAACCAAGGTTGAGTAAGGTATTATTTTTGCCTGACTTTTTTTTTTTAACTCATAGAAAAGTTATTAAAACTTTTTTTGGTAATATAAAGTGTACAATGTGATTTTATACACACACACACGCAAGCACACAACATGCATATATACACTGAGAAAGGATTGTCACCATTTAGTTCAGTAACACACCCATCACCTCAAATATTTACTTTTTTTCCTGAAAACTCTTACGTCCTGGGCTCTCTGTTCTGTTCTGTTTTTAGTCTGTGTCACGCAGTTGCTCTGATTTTTCCGATTAGTGCGCTCCCCCACAGGGTGAAGAATGGCATCGCCCCCTGTCACCCTGACAGTGGGGCTGGGAGCAGGGGGACATGAGCATTGGTGGGGACACTGACACTGCCTTGGACTGGACACCGCTGAAGCCTGATATCACGCATTGGTGAATTGTGACTTTTATACCCAATCTTAAGAGCAGGCTGCGGGCCGCTCCATCCATCCATTCAACAAGCTGTACTGTACAGCCACTGCCTGCAGGCCACCTACTGAACGCCGGGAGGGCAGCATTGAAGGAGACACCCTCCCTGCCCCGGGGACCCCGGAGTCTGCTGGGGAGCGGGAGCACGCGCTGTGCGGGCTGCCTTCACGTCACACCCCGGCCCGGGTGCCACCCGCCGCGGCGACCTGACCCCGGGGCTGCGCCCCCGCGTCTAACTTGTCGGGGCTATGGTATCCACACCGTGAGGGTGTCGAGGATGCCCTACGTGAAACGTGTGACGTGCCCAGCACGTAGTAGGCATGCAGCGAGTATTAGTTTCCTTCTTTGAATTACTGTATTTGCATTCTGCCTCTCTTTCAAACTGAGAGTACCATAACGAATCAGCATGCATGACTAGAAAGTCCTCTGTGTGTCTTACACAGTCACACACTTGTCCAAGTGGAGAACTTACTGAGAATATGTTCCTTTATTTTAGTCCCAGTTAAACGGAAGAGGCAAGAGCACCTCCCTGGACCCAACAAATATGACCTCCTTGATTTTGGCTAAGAATAAAGACAGAATACAGGTATTTCGCCTAATATATGTGTATGTGTGTGTGTATATATGCCCACAGTTAATTTTATTTGTTTTTCAAATGTATGATATGATTCGGAGGGGTGGTGATGCACAGTCCACACGGCATCGTCCTTGTGGATTTGCTCTGTTAAGGCGAGCATCTCAGGTGGTTTGCCTCCTCAGGCCACAAACGCCAGAGCAGCCGGGGCACAGCCCACAAGGCTCCTCAGGGCTGAGGAAGCTCACCCAGGGCCGAACACTTGCCACGGCGAAGTCCATCTTGTTTCAGTGAACACTTGTTAGGCAGCTATTATCTTGTAACTCCACAGCAACACTTCAGGTAAAAAGTGGTAGTGAATGCAGCGGTTCTCAACCCAGGAGATGTTAACAAATTGGGGTGGACCATCAGTTGTGAGGGGCATCTCACATCCAGTTATAGTGACCGTTCGGTACAGAGGTTTGTGAATGATTCACTTTTTTAAAAGAATAAGTTTGAATGAATTCATATTTATCCCTGTCATAACATCTCTCTTGCTCATTTGTACCTGCGTATTCTTTCCTCATTGTTTAGTTGGTAAGTTGTNCTCTACTCAATGCACTGTGGTAACTTAAATGGGAAGGAAATCCAAAAAAAGAGGCGATAAACATGCACGTAATGAACTTTCCTGGTGGCTCAGTGGTAAATAATCCACCTGCAATCCAGGGGACTCAGATTCGATCCCTGGGTCAGGAAGGTCCCCTGGAGGAGGCCATGGCAACCCACTCCAGTATTCTTGCCTGGAGAATCCCATGGACAGAGGAGCCTGGCAGGCTACAGTCCGTAGGCTTGCAAAGTCGGACACGACTGAAGGCAGTTAGTATGCATACACACATAGGTACAGAATGGATGGCTTCTCAAGGTCAGATCACTGCCCTCTTCTCACGCCTGCTGCGTGGGTGTTCTGAGAATGATGCTCGCATTTACCCATCAGTATCGTGTGAAGATCCAACCCTGTGGGGCCCCCTGAGGACTGTGTAACATGAGCCCTCCTTAGGGCCATGATCCCCTAGGAGGGGTAACAAGGTAGACAGCCCAGACACCATGATATCACGGAAACATAGCAGTGGGAAGAGAGGTGGAGATAAAGTCCAGTCACAGAGGGTTCTGTCCTGACACGCTGGTGACTGTCCCCTTTCCTCATACAGCATCCGCTGCAAGGTGCCTGTCGGTGGCTGAAGCTGTATCCCTCCACTGAAACAGGCTGGTTAGGCTGTGACATGTAAATTGGGATTTACATGTCATTTAAACCCAGTAGAGTAGCTGAATGCCACCCAAGCCTTGACTTCTACTTCATTGTTCTTTAAATTTCTAGTTTCATGTTTCTGTAACAGAGATGTAGGCATTTAACCTCCATGGTATGTCAGATAAGAGTTTAAAAACTCTGGGCAGTCTCCAACCTTGTAAATCAGGTTCTCTTTCTTTGTGTAATGTTTCTAAACAGCTTATAAAATGCAATCCCTGAGCTTCTCGGAGCAATTAAGATATCACCCGTGGACCTTTCTTTGGCCATCTCAGGGACTAGGGTGAATGCTTGATTCACCTCTGCCCTGTAACAATGTCAGCTACTTTGGTATTTGAGGAGAAACGAAGCTACCTCTCACTAACTCCTTGTAACAGCAGCCCCAATCCTAACTATAACTTTAGGAATTACAGCACAAAGTGATTCAACTCTTCTGTCTTGTTTGCACAGAAACAGAAGCCAGGATTTACAGTATCTTGCGATCCAAAGAAAAGCACCAACCCCAGCCAAGAGCCAGCTCCACCCGTGAAGCCAAGCTGGTCCAGGAGCAGATGTCCTGGCACACAGGGAAGCCACAGGACCGCCGTGGCATACCCATCCTTGCACATCTACACCTACCCGTAGAGCGCCCGGACCAGGCCACACAGGCTCTGCCTCGCTGTGCTTTGGGTTAGGTGCATTTTGTAACGAAGGGATTTGTGTGCTCGGGAACTTCATTCACTGGTTGTATTCTGTGTTGTGTGTCCATCATGCACCACCCTCACCCCAGGAGCTTACATTGTGCGCAGGATCTCAGGACGCATACCTCACGACTTAAATTATTTTTTCATGAAATGAAATTTTATTGTGATGTATCCAAAAGCTTCCCTTATAAGAAATTGAACTGTGTGCTCGTGAAACAACAACACAGATATACCTCAGTTTACATTTCTCTCTAAAAGTATATGCAAAGAAGCTTTAAAAGAGCAGATTATTTTAAACGTACTCTTGGCAGTTTGCTATATTAAATAAAAAGTCTTGCGTCAGAACTTCCTAGTGACGAATGATCAGTCAGGTTGCGGTATATCAGGTTTGTTCAGGGTGAGGTGTCCCCACACAGAGGAAAAAACTCATGTTATTACCTGGAAGTCAGTGTTGCGTATATTATGCTCAGCATGGTTATGTAAGTTTTTTAACCCATTGATTAAAATTCTTTCTGTCCCACAACTTATTCCCTTTGATTGGTGGTTAACTGTGTAATCTCGTGTGAATAGATACTTCAGATTTTCCGTCCTTGGCGGGCACTAGGCCCCATCTGCCTACTACGGCCTGTCATGTCAACGTGCTGGAGTCGTGTTAAGAAGGGTCACTCCAGTTCATGTCAGGCTTCCTGTTTTGACTTTACCTGTTTCCTTTTATGTTGGGTTGAAAGCTTCCTAGTATGTTTCGTGTTATCACTTTTAAATCCTTTCAGCCACCACCACTACCTGGATGACTAGAGGTTAGAACTTTGCTAGAATCCCAGAGGCAGTGTCTTTCTCTCTGTTGTAATCAGTCGACTCTTGCGTTACTTGTTTGCATGTGTGTTGCTGGCAGCACTGGGTCTCCGTCGCGCGCGTGGGCTGTCCCCGGCCGCAGAGAGCCGGGGCTGCTCTCTGGTGGGGGCAGCGGGCTCCTCATCGCGGGGGCTCCTTTCGCCGCGGAGAGCCGGGGCTGCTCTCTGGTGGGGGCAGCGGGCTGCTCATCGCGGGGGCTCCTTTAGCCGCGGAGAGCCGGGGCTGCTCTCTGGTGGGGGCAGCGGGCTGCTCATCGCGGGGGCTCCTTTTGCCGCGGAGAGCCGGGGCTGCTCTCTGGTGGGGGCAGCGGGCTGCTCATCGCGGGGGCTCCTTTCGCCGCGGAGAGCCGGGGCTGCTCTCTGGTGGGGGCAGCGGGCT